GAAATAAGCCAGGCGGAGAAAGGCAAGTACCAAATGATTTCACTCATCTATGGAGTATAACAACGAAGCAAAACTGAAGGAACAAAACAGCAACAGACTCACAGACTCCAAGAAGGGACTAGCAGTTACCGAAAGAGAGGGCTGGGAGAGGGTGCATGGAGGGAGGGTGAAGGGGATATATTGCACATAATCTTTTTTGTGTCAAATATCATCTCACACTTGTTTTTTTGAAAGGTAAGGAAGGCTACCAGGTGGGGACGTCTCAGAACCCACCCTTTTCTCCTCCCTGAAGCAATCCTTTCTGTACCAGAGCTGTGCGGAGTTGATTATCTGGGAGGGAAAGAGGCTGGTATCTAAGCAAATGTTAGATGGTAACCATGCCCTTAAAAAGCTGAAAAGAGAATACCCAGGAGTAGAGCCGTCTTTGTTCCGTAACAATAGTGAGATTGCTGACACTGAGTGCGTACTGTTTCTTTCCCCCATTGAATGGCCTTAGAACTCTTGTCAGAAACCAGCTGGTCATAAATGTAAGGGTTTATTTCTGGACTCTTAGTCCTTTTTCACTGATACGTATGTCTGCCTTTATGCCAGTACCACAGTGTCCTGAATAATTTGTAGTAGTGTTGAAATAAGGAAGTATGAACCTTCCTACTTGGTTGTCCTTTTTAAGATTGTTTTGTCTATTCTAGTTCATTTGCATTTCCATATGAATTTTAGGTTCAGCTTATTTTTTTTAATAAAAACTGTTTAAATAGGAGTTGAGTTGAATCTGTAGATCAGTTTGAGTAGTAGTGTCATCCTAGCTGTTAAGTATGCTAATCCATGAACATGGTATGTCTTACCATTTATGTAAATGTTTAATGTCTTTCTACAGTGTTATGTAGTTTTTTGTACACACATCTTGCCCTTCCCTGGTTACATTTATTTCTAGATATTTTATTCTTTCTGATGCTATTATAAATTAATTGTTTAATTTCATTTTTGGATTGTTCATTGCTAGTGTATGGAAATATTACTGACTTTCGTATATTGATCTTATTTCCTGCAACTTGCTGAACAAGTTTGTTAGTTCATCTCACTCTTAGTTGATTTCTTAATATGTTCTATCTACAAGATGATGCCATGTGAGCTAGAAATAGTTTTACTTCTTTCCTTCTATTTGGATGACTTTTTATTCTTTTCCTGGCCTAATTGCTGAGAAGGGATTTTTTTAAAAAATGCTTCAAGCTATCTCAGATGAGGAAACAGCCCATCCTTGTTGGGCCTCCTGACCCCAGTTGTCAGGAGGGTGTGTCTCCCGTATGTGCAGTGCTGCAGAGGGATTCCACATAAAATGCCTCAGTGACGTCTTTTTAAGGCTCAGAAGATAAGTGCTGTGCCCAAGAGTCCACCTCAGGGAAGCAACACTGGGCCAGAGCTTCCCACCTAGACCCCTCTGCCCGGTGCTCTGCCTGTCCAGCTCCCCCAGATCCCACTGCTGCCCCTCCTACTTGTCCTTCTCTGCTATAATTGGAATTATGCCACAAGTCCAACTCATGACGCCCTAATCTTCCCACAGTAGAGTGGTATCTTCTCTTCTGCATATCTGCGTCCTTCGTGATTCTGGCTGGTGTTTCCCCCTCTGCTGCCTGGCAGTCATTGACCCCGGCGCGCTGTATTCCCTCATGGCCCCTCAGTGCTCTCTGAGGCAGGGGCATGTGAGGCACAGAGCTGTGCACGTCATAGGTGCCTAGTGTATTTGTTGAAATAAATTGGGATTGGTCTAGCAGACCCTTGCAGAGTCACTCACCCGAAGAAGTGTCTCCCACCCCGACCCCCTCATGTAGAAGGGTGGTGTGTGCCCTCAGGCAATCCGGGGCTGAGCCTGCTGACAGGCTCCACGGGATATCCCTGATGTTTGTACAACAGTGTGACCAGCAGCTTTCCCCACAGAGCCCTGCTGGGGCTGAGATGCAGTGAGAAGCATTAGTGTTGAGTGAAACAATATTGTCTTTCATAGTGATTGAACACGGAGGAAATGTAGTGTGCAATCTTTTTACTAGGGTGTTTGGCAATGATTATAATATTTAAATGCATATCATCTTTGATCCAGCATTTCTGTTGCTATATGCTTGCCTAAATTTACAAAGGTAGATGTTCATGGATGTTCACTGTAGGGTATCCACAATAGCAAAAAATCAAACCTAGCCTGACTCTCATAAGTACTACTGGTTATATCAGTTATGATTAGCCACACAGTGGAGAGCTGTGCAGCCCTTCAAAATAATCAAGTGGATCTTTGTATGCTGATATAGAAAACCATGAGAAAAGAAAGTGGTAGGTTGGTTTGCATGTACAGCACAGTTTGTGCAGAGGGGAAGAAAAGACATGTTTTCTTGTATGTGTGTCTGCCACTTCTGGGTGTCTGCAGAGTCGCACAGAACACCAGAAGGGGTGTCTGCCTCTGGGTGGTTGGAGTAGGCAATCTGGTACATGTTCTTTGCACTTTATACCCCACATCTTAGTCTGCAGTTGTCTCTGCAAGCACATGCTGTGCAGTCATCCCCACAATCCCAGTCCAGAAGAGCCTGTCATACCAGCAGGAAACCCCATACCCAGCTGTAGGTGGCGCCCTCCCCCAGCCCCTAGGAGCCATGAATCTGCTCCCTGACTCTGTGGAGTTGCCTGTTATGGGAGTTCATGCTTGCTAGTTCTCCTGTGCTGCTTTTTCCTCACTTGGAAGTGTCAGGTAAGGAGGTCTGTTTTCCTTGTCCCGCTCTCCCAGCACTGTAGACCTCTTTCCTCCCTTCCCCACGGGCTCATTCTCAGGCCAGCCGTTTAGCTCAGGAACGAGCCATGCCTAGCACAGGGTACAGGGGCGCTTGGGTAAGGTTGTGGGAGGCCCCTGCTGCAGAGATGCCCAGGCCCTGCATTGCAGGTAAGTCGTGCAGTCTAGACCCATAACAGCTGTGGACTGTGTCCTGAGGATCCTTCATGTACTGGCGATGCCTTTTGCAACCACTTACCATAAGTAGCCTATAAAAAAGAAGGATCCGAAACCACATTCTTGCTTGTGTGGTGTATCGCATGATGTAGGTAAATGAGCATTAGCTTGACCCTACGTTAGTTATGTCTCATATTTGAAGTAGGAATTCACCTCCAAAGAATCAGACATTTCTCATTAAAAAACTATTCATTGACCACACAGCTTCCTAGGTGCTAGAGGAGATCCTAAGCCAAAGTTGTAAGTAGCTTTGAATCTAAGCAAGGGTTTTCAAGGCATGAGCTGGAAGATCCAATCTGAAAGCTGAAGAGTTTTTTTTTTCGTGGGAAAGTCAGTTGTCACAGAAATCCAGTTAGGCGTGAGCAGCTCAGACCTGCCCTGCCCTCTTTTTGTTACTCACCAATGTGTTACCACCAGGCAGTATTCCAGGCGCCTGGAGTTTGTCAGTCAACAGAACAGTGTTGTTGGGGAGCTAATGTGCCACCAAAGGAAGAGATGATAAATCATGAGCATGTGGCCTTGGAGGGTGGGAAGTGCCGTGGAAGAGGCACCGGCAGGACAAAAGGAGTCAGGCAAGGAGGGGTGCCCGCAGCGGGCCTCCGTGAGCAGGTGGGGAGGGGCGTGCCAGGAGGAGCAGCCTCAGGGGCTGGGGGTGACCTAGTGCATCTGCACAGGGCCCGTGTGGAGAGCAGGGAGGGTGGGAGTGCCGGAGGCCGGGTGGCCAGTGCGCAGATTGTGACCCTTTCCTCTGACAGGCAAAGTTAGCTTGGCACCTTTCTATTTAGCATCTCATCAACAGGATTCTGATCAACAAGTTTGTGAGCAAAGGGTCTCTGGCCTTCTGAGGTCATTTTGAAACTTTGTTTTTCACAAATAGATGGACTTCACAGAAGGCTGCCACACTTTGCCATAGTAATGTTCTGGTTTGTTCCCACTAACCCGTGTTGGACTGGAGCGCCACCAGTTGGTTTATCTGTCAGTGGTCTGCTGTGGCATTAGTTCCTACTCACCCGTGGTGTGAACTGCTCCTTCTTTCAGCCTCGAAAAGAGGCAGAAGGCCCCTCCTTCTAGGGTGAGGTAGGGTAGGGTAGGAGTGGAGGCGGATGCCCAGGACCTCGTGAGTAGGGAGAATTGGCCCTTATACTTGTAAGTGGCAGACGGATCGAGCAAGAACAGTGTAGTTCTGAGACCTGCCTAGATCTGCCCAGAACTTCCTCTCTAGGCTCGCCAGATGCTCCCGTGCACCTCAGCTGCAGGGCTGCTCAGGGTGCTTCGTGGCTCGTTCTCAGGAACTACGCACTTTGCTAGTTGGCGGGAGCTTGCAGGTGGGAACCACCTGTCTGTGCACTCGTCACCATCACACAGAGGGCCCATCCAGCCCCAGTGTCTCTTCCGCCACCTCTGTCCCTGCACCAAAGTACCTGTAATCCACAATGGGTCCACCATGAAACTGGTGCCCTGTGCAGGTTCCTGCTGTTGCAGGGTCAGTGAGGGAGGTGGGGCCAGGCAGCCAGGTGTGAGTGGCAAGCTGGGGACATGCTCTCGTGGCCCCATCTGCAGACGCCGTAGAATGGAAAGCACTGTTGGAATGAGAGACATGTGTTCAGACTCCAGGGTTGGCTACAGTGTCATCACAGTGGGTTGTGTCATTGAGGCTGTCATCTGGCAGTGAGGCTACGAGGAAATAAAACTGGCTGTTACTTCAGCCAAAACATCAGAATGATGCACAGAACTTGAAGGTACAGCAAAGTAGTATCTCTATTTTAGAGAACCGTAAAAAGACAGTTTAAACCTTTCAGAAAGCTTTTGAGCAGGCATGCTGACAGAAGTGTCTGAGCAGTAGACAGGGAGGGGGCCGTCTGATCGCCCCTTGTTCCTGTCACCTGTTACCACGAGGAAGGGCTCTTGTGTAAACTGAAAGCAAACACGTCTCGGGAATTTTTGCTTTTCTAAAGCCATTTGTTGACACAGAATGACATGGTCACACTCTGCTCGTTTGCTGTCACTGTCCCCACAGAATTTCTCTTTTCTGAAATGGAGTCGAGTAAAAAGATGGACTCCCCTGGTGCCCTGCCGACCAACCCACCGCTAAAACTGCACCCTGACCGCACCGCCGGGACACCAGTGTTCGTCCCCGAACAAGGAGGTTACAAAGAGCGGTTCGTGAGGACCGTGGAAGACAAGTACAGGTGCGAGAAGTGCCGCCTGGTGCTGTGTGACCCGAAGCAGACAGAGTGTGGGCACCGCTTCTGTGAGACCTGCATGGCTGCTTTGCTGAGGTAGGCGCCATCCTGGTCTGGGTTCACCAGCCTTTCAGCTTCACCAGCCCCGCTCTGCCACCTGCTCCTTGGTCAGTTTCCTACAAAAGGAACCCTGAAGGTGTAAGGCTCTGCAGGAACCCGAATGAAGTTCTGGAGGCCAGCTAACAAGTCATTCAGGGAAACCCAATAGGACCCCATGCCTGAGTTCGTGAGGCCTCTGAGCCCCACGGCCTGGACTGCGCAGCCCGTCCCCAAGCATCTCCTGTAGTCACTCCTGCCCCTGCCTCTGTCCTGGTGGTGCTGGCCACTTTGCCCTGGTGTCCCCAGGCCATGGTGCTGAATTTTGCTTGAGAAGCTCACAGTTCTGTGCGAGACACACCCATCAGCAAGTGGCAGAGGAGCCCACCAAGTGCAGGTGCTGTGCTGCGCGGAATGGACTGCCCACCTCCCCAGCCTGAAGGAGTCCAGTCTATGTGCACTGAGCCCTGGGCCCTTGGAAGCCCTTGTCAGTGGAGTCTTGATACCATTTTAGAATCACAGAGGTAGTTACTAAAGCAGGCTGGAGTTTCACAGCAGAAACAACACTGGCCAAGAAAGCATCCTGGTTCATCCCCCAGGTGTTTTCCAGGCACGGTGCTGGGCACCAGGGTTCTAGCAGGATGTGCTCAGGCATGGTCCCCCATTAGGTACTGGGGCCTAGGCAGGTGCCCCCTTCTCTTCCTGATTTGGCACTGAGGACATAGCCCTTGATGGCCGAACAGCAGCCAGCCTGCCTCCCCTGTCACCCTCCCCTGGGTACTTCCAATTTTGGTCTTATCTACTTACCCCAGACATGGAACCAGCTTCCCCTGCTGGTGGGTAGACTAACTCTTTGGGTCCTGCTTAGTGATGACATAGTAGACTCATAGCACCTGATGTCCCTTAACTCGTGGACCTGGGCTGCAGCTCTGGGCCAGGGAGGGCTTCCTGGTCACAGGTCCCTGGGTGGTGGGGTCCAGTGTTCTGTTGCTCTTCTGGTTTCCATCCTTCTTCTGCTCCTGCTCCATATTTTGCAGGTGTCAGGGGGCCCCACTCAGCTGCTGCTCAGCCCTGGGGTCTAAGGGTAGGAAGAGATCCGTATGATTAAAACAATTCAGCATAAGCTCTGTATTAGTGTAGCCTAAATGGATGAGCTTTTATTTTAAAACATAGTAAGTTCTTCCCCAACCAGCCCTCAGCTCTCCTGCCAGCCTTCCCAGGCCTGTGGAGCCTGCCGCTCCACCCAGGCCTGACACACACGTGTCCAGCCCTGCCTCTTTCTGGAAGCCTCCGCTGACACTTCCTGGCCTGGACTCCTGAGCCCTTGACTGTCTAGGGCAGGGACTGTGCACAAACTTAGTTTTTATTTTTAATCTCTAGGAGGTGGTTACCAGGCACAGGATGGGGGTAAGAATCAATTCCAAAAAAGGGCAGCTTGGGAGCAGTGGCTCATGTCCTAAGTTTGGGGATAAGAATGATACAGGAGACTAATGATTTCTTTTTAAAACTAATGGGTCAGTTTTAAATTCTTGTACTCTTACGGTCTATGGAATTTCAGTAGCCTTTTGATATTCATGAAGGAAAATAGCTTGTGGAGAAAGTAGTGGCTATTTTTATAAAGCAAGGCCATTTAAAGTCTCTCCTAATAAGCTGTGGACACTCACACTGAAGATCCCCTCCATAGAGCTAGTTTTGGTTTCTGAAATAAGATTTCACTTTTAATTGAAAGGGGCTTTCCAAGTGAGACTGATCTAAGCTGTTCATGCTTAAAAACTTCCTTATGAAAAATTACCACTATAAAAAGAATTAAGCCCTTAATCCTATGGCGTTCCTATTTAAACCAAATTTACCATGGCGTCCTAAAAAGCTCTGGTTTGTTGCTCTGCATTCATACAGCAAGTTTGACCATAAACTGAGTGCTTCAAATGAGAAGGGACTTCTGATCCAACATATATATATTCATGTATTTCCCCTCAGCTCCTCAAGCCCGAAATGTACTGCGTGTCAAGAAGGCATCATTAAAGATAAGGTATTCTTGTGTCTTTAATGAATTATTTTTGTGTCTTTAATGAATGTTTGAAGCTACGTAGTCCTTCCATGTACTTGGTGTCCAGTGCTCTGGTGCTCTGACCTTACCTCAGGGCTTGACAGCTGATGCAGTGGAGTTAGGGCAGGGAGCGTACCGTGTAAGCACCTGGACAAATGGGTGTGTGGCCTGGGCAAGGTGCTTCACCCTCTGAGTCCCCTCCTCAGACTCTGGGAGGCATGTGAGGCGTGAAGGCGTCAGTGTTCATCACGTACGTGATGCGTGGGTCATCTCTGGTCTTTCTCCCAGGTGGCTTGCACTGGACTCTTACAAGTGTGCTAGCTCAGGTGCTCAGTTGAATTGCTCCTCCCCCACCCTCATGCGATATCTTGAGGTCATTGGATGCCTGTGAGATTCTAGCTCCTCCCCTCTGCACAAGACAGTGTGCCAGCGAGAGCTCGTGGGTGTCAGTGCAGACTCAGCACGAGGCCCCCCAGGCCTCCCACCAGCGTCCCATCTGGGGCCCGAATCACCTCGTATGGCACCTTTGTGGTCCTTTGCATGCTGCCAAACCCTGCTAGACACACTTGTAGATTGAAATGACTCGTTCTTAAGTACTTAAAATACCAGTAAGAATGTGTGGTTCCAATATTTTGATTAATAGACCTAACAGTTTTTTAAATGTAAGTCATTCATTGTACAGTAAAATTCTTGCTCTGGGGTTTTCTTGTCTAAAGCACTTTTCAGATTGGGTTTGTCTTCAGGGCAGCTCAGATAAGTGCAATGATCTGAGGGGTGCTCGTGCTAGGGCCTCTGGGCTGCCAAAACTAGGGCATCCAGAGCAAACCTGCCCTGGACAGCTTACAGACCAATTTGGCCACATGTCCATGGCCTTATCTTCTTAGCATTTAGGCTGTAAAGACTGCCCTTAGTAACTGGAAGGGGATTGTTTTCAAGAAATTAAAAAGAGAATCTTAACATGGTAACTAACTGCTACTTTGTTAACATGTGTCTAACCAATGTGTTTGAGAGAGAAGGTTGGAACAGTGACCTTGTCTCTGTTTCTTTATTTGGAATTATCCCGATTTTTTCAATGACATTGATAGTTAAAGAAAAAGTGCTGATTTTGTTGAAGAGTCATAAATGAGTCTGCAGCCGTAGATCCATGGGAAAGCTGGGCCGGTGGAAACAAGATCTGCCCCTCAGCAGGTCACCAATGATGGCAGCCGCCAGGGGGAATCTCAGGTTCCTCATCTATAAAATGGAACAATTGCATTATATAGTCTGAGAGCTTTTTCAGATCTAAAATTCTGAACTATTATTAGCCTGATGTTTTTGATCTATGAAGTTAAACTCAAATTTAAAGTTAAACTAAATGGCACAAAAGGCAGCTTATTTCTTACTGATTAAAAATGTCCGTTTTGTTGACTTTAGTATCTTAAATTATGACTTTTTTTTAAACAGTCATGTTTATGCAGAAGGAACAAAATAGCAATAGACTCATAGACACTGAGAAGGGAGTAGTAGTTACCTAGGGGGCTGGCGACCGTGGGGCGTGGAGGAGGAAGGGGATTAAGGGGCACAATAATTCAGTCACAGTATAGGTTGGTCACAGGGACTGTAGTACAGCACAGAAAATACAGTTAATGACTCCATAACATCTTACTACATTGGTGAACAGTGACCCCACGGGAGGGGGAGAGGACTTGATAATCTGGGTAAATGTTGAACCACTGTGTTGTGTATTTGGAACCAGCGTAAGATTACATATCAATGATATTTTAATTTTAAAAAAAGTCATGTTTATGAAGGATTAGATTTGACTCTAAATTAGTTTAACTCTTAGCAGCTGTTGATTCTATTTCTTTGCCTGTGGAGTTGAGAAAGGCTTACTAAGATGCCTATTTTTCCACTCTTACAGTGTCACATGGGCATCTTAGAGATGCCTGAGAACTAGGCACAGATTGTGTTTTACAAGGAGTCAGTTTGCTTGTTTTCTAAGGGAAAAATAAAGTTAAAGGAAGGAAGGTTTTCATTTTCAAAGGGGCACATTTTCATTGGTGGATTAACCTCAGGTTTTGGAGTATATATCCAAGAGTTATTTTAAATAGTGGGCTAATGTCTCCACTTTGGTGAAAAATGAGTTCTGAGTGACATGACCTTAGGAGAAAGAAACAAAATAAATGTTTTACAAAGCAGCTGCAAGATATGATCTTTTACAGTAGCTTCTCTGTTTCTCTAGGAAGTGATCTAAAAAGGCATCGAGCTGCAGTGGGTTCTGCCTTGTCTCTTCATAGAAGGCATACTGTCCATGGCCATGTTCACAGCACTGGCTCCTGGAAGTCTCCGGAGTCCAACTGTGCACTTGAGCCTCTTGTGCCCCCAATTTAAGATTATGTCAGAGTTAATCCAAAATGTTCAGATGCTCCAAAGTGATCTTTAATCATTCAGCAAAACTTGTTTTCTTTTGACTTATCTAATAAAAGGTGAAAGTTAAGGTTGCATTGTTTAAATTGTCTTTTAGTGGGGGCAGCTCCTTCATTCTGTTTATAGAAATTAGACATTAAGATAGTCCTTAACATTTTCTGAGGTTCACTTAAGAGGTGCCCTCAGGATTTTTTAAAAGTGGTTTTGCCTGTTCAAAGTAACAGCATGTGGAGATGAAGAAATTTTAATCCTCTAACTCTCTCAATTTCAGGTGTTTAAGGATAATTGCTGCAAGAGAGAGATTCTGGCTCTTCAGATATATTGTAGGAATGAAAACAGAGGTTGTGCAGAGCAGTTAACACTGGGGCATCTGCTGGTAAGTGCTGAAGCCACAGAGCAAGTTTCTACATGAAGAGATGCAAGTCCCTGATCAGTATGATGTGGCACGTGGAGACCATGCTTATATTAATCTTTCAAAACAAATATGAAAGCAAACAAAGCCAGTTGGGTATGAGATGTTATTCTTACGACATCATGGTCTTTTTAAACACTGCTGCTCTCTTTAGCAGAGACAGAAATCTAAATCAAATTTTAATTTTGGAAGGCCCATTAAAACTTTCTCTTTTTTATCATGAAATTCCACATAACTTATGCTTTTTTGATTAATATCATTATTTTTATCCTGGAAGGATATTTGAATTGGAATGAAATAAAGGTCTAGCAAATAACCATTTATTTATCCAGGAAGAAGAGTTGACTTAATTCTTCAAAAGCAATATAGTTTGAGTAATCACTAAACAGAAAATGAAATTCAGTGTGTCCTGCTACATCAGTCCTCTGTGGAAACTGGTCTAGTGCAGATGGAACCATTTCTGTAGGATTTAATTATGTAGAGGCTACAATCTGGTATTTCAGTTGAATTTTTTGCCAGTTAAGGACTTTGAATTGTCTTACAGGTGCATTTAAAAAATGATTGCCAGTTTGAAGAGCTTTCATGTGTTCGTGCTGACTGCAAAGAAAAGGTACTAAGGAAAGATCTGCGTGACCACGTGGAAAAAGCCTGTAAATACCGCGAGGCAACATGCAGTCACTGCCAAAGTCAGGTTCCCATGGTTACACTGCAGGTGCGGTATTTCCTCGTTTCACATACCTTCTGCTCAGTCCAGATGTGATTTGCCAAAGAACAGTTCTTCCAATGAATGACTAATTGAACAGGAATAAAGAGAAAAGATAGGAGTCAATAGCATTTTTCATCTGTATTTCACATTTAAGTTTTGTGCTTTTTGCCCATTTTTATTTATATAATTAACATTTTTCATTGCCTTGATTGACTATTATTTGGGGTGCAAAAAAAATGACTATTCAAGAAAGGTATAATTTTTCACTTGTCCCAAGGAATGGCCTCAAAATCTTATTGTATTGCTTAATCTTTTTACAGTTCTGTGCCGTAACCGTCACTTTGACAAGCAATTTATCCTGAAGTATTGAGGTACAGCTACCTATCTTAGAGAAAGATGAGAATCTTAACATTTTTATAACCTGATTATCTTGGCGTGGTTGTGTATTGTGCACATGTTAGAATGAGATCGCTTATCCCTAAATTAGAGATGTTGGGGGCAGAGGACAAACTTTAACCATCAGTTGTGTAGTAACCATCAAATGTCTACTTGTTGAACAGATATTTCCTGAGATATTTAGCTACTGTGTACTGGGCACTGTTCTAGGAGCTGGGGGTTCAGTGATGGAGCTCATCTTCTAGTGGGATGAGATGGTTAACAGGCAAACAAAACACATAATGTGTGTGGTTTGTACTATGAAGAAAGATAAACTGGCATCATGAGAAGAGGAGTGAGCAGTGCCAGCCACTCTGAGCAGCCAGGGAACTGATGAGGGAAGAGAATTCTGAGCAGAGGGAACAGCAAGGGAGTATGCAGGCTCTGAGATGGAGCTCACTTGGCAGATAGATTTCAGACCTTGAGAGGCCAGCTTAGCTCCTGTGTCCAGAACAAAGGTGAGGTGCAAAGGTAATGGGAGGCAGACTGAAGGGTGGGTGCCAGGCACTGGGCAGCCTTGAGCAAGGGGGTGATGTTGTCAGAGTTCTACGTTATGTTCACCCATTCCAATGGGTGTGACAGGTAGCCAGTGGGGAAAGGGGGGGAATATGGAAGCAGGGCATAATGTTAGCCTGGAAGAGAGTAAGGAGAGGGAGGGAAGAGCAGTCATACTGGGCATTTCAAAGGTAGAGTCAATGCGATTGGCTGGTGGCTCAAAAATGAAGTATAAGTTAGGGATGATGCCAAGCATTTTCGTAACTAGAGCAGTTGGATGAACTGCTGAGGTGGACTGCAGGGGAAAGTGGCAGGCTTGGGGGAGAAAATGGAGTGGGCTGACTGTAGGTGTGTATTAACAGATGGTCCTTACAGCCCTGGGACTAGAGCAAGTGGAGAGCAGAGCCAGTCAGAGGACAGAGGCATAGGCACATGAATGCTTATGCGTTGCTAAGAGGGGAGGCCACCCAGCAAAGGAGAGGCTCATGTGGAAAGGTCAGGAGGGTGGTGGTGCCCCAGGCAGGGTTTGCTGGACGGTGTGGTGGGGCAAGTCAGCCACCAGTGCAGCTGAGAGGCAGAGTAGGATGGGCTGGCATTGACCTCTGGACTTGGCAGCACAACGATTCCTGGGGTCATAGAGGGGAGGGGATTTGGAGAAGCAGCGAATGTGAGGGCCACGGTCCAGCTCCTGGTGGATATTCTTGGGTGTTACTGACCAGAATTTAGGGACAGTTTTTGTTTTTTCTGTATGAAGTGAGGTGCATTCTACTCTCTTTTTACTTTTTGGTATCATTAATATACAGTTATATGAGCAACACTGTGGTTACTAGATGTCCCCCATTATCAAGTCCCCCCCACATACGCCATTACAGTCACTGTCCATCAGCATAGTAAGACACTATAGAGTCACTACTTGTCTTCTCTGTGCTATACTGCCTTTCCCATGCCCCCACCCCCTACATTATGTCTGCTAATCGTAATGCCCCTTTTTCCCCTTATCCCTCCCTTCCCACCCATCCTCCCCAGTCCCTTTCCTTTGGTAACTGTTAGTCCATTCTTGGGTTCTGTGCTTCTGCTGCTGTTTTGTTCCTTCAGTTTTTCTTTGTTCTTATACTCCACAGATGAATGAAATCATTTGGTACTTGTCTTTCTCTGCCTGGCTTATTTCACTGAGCATAATACCCTCTAGCTCCATCCATGTTGTTGCAAATGGTAGTATTTGTTTTCTTCTTATGCCTGAATAATATTCCATTGTGAATAGGTACCACTTCCTCTTTATCCATTCATCTACTGATGGACACTTAGGCTGCTTCCATTTCTTGGCTATTGTAAATAGTGCTGTGATAAACATAGGGGTGCATATGTCTTTTTCAAACTGGGCTCCTGTATTCTTAGGGTAAATTCCTAGAAGTGGAATTCCTGGGTCAAATGGTGTTTCTATTTTGAGTTTTTTGAGGAACCTCCATACTGCTTTCCACAATGGTTGAACCAGTTTACTTTCCCACCAGCAGTGTAGGAGGGTTCCCTTTTCTGCACATCCTCGCCAACATTTGCTGTTGTTTGTCTTTTGGATGGTGGCCATCCTTGTTGGTGTGAGGTGATATCTCATTGTGGTTTTAATTTGCATTTCTCTGATGGTTAGCAATGTGGAGCATCTTTTCATGTGCCTGTTGGTCATCTGAATTTATTCTTCGGAGAAGTGTCTGTTCAGATCCTCTGCCCATTTTTTAATTGGCTTGTTTGCTTTTTGTTTGTTGAGGTGCATGAGCTCTTTGTATATTTTGGATGTCAACCCCTTATCAGATCTGTCATTTATGAATATATTCTCCCATACTGTAGGATGTCTTTTTGTTCTGCTGATGGTGTCCTTTGCTGTCCAGAAACTTTTTAGTTTGATATAGTCCCACTTGTTCATTTTTGCTTTTGTTTCCCTTGCCCGTGGAGATATGTTCATGAAGACCTTGTTCATGTTTATATTCAGGAGCATTTTGCCTGTGTTTTCTTCTGAGAGTTTTATGGTTTCATGACTTACATTCAGGTCTTTGACCCATTTTGAGTTTACTTTTGTGTATGGAGTTAGTAATCCAGTTTCATTCTCTTACATGTAGCTGTCCAGTTTTGCCAACACCAGTTGTTGAAGAGGCTGTCATTTCCCCATTGTATGTCCATGGCTCCTTTATCGTATATTAATGGACCATATATGCTTTGGTTAATATCTGGACTCTCTATTCTGTTCCATTGGTCTGTGGCTCTGTTCTTGTGCCAGTACCAAATTGTCTTGATTACTGTGGCTTTGTAGTAGAGCTTGAAGTTGGGAAGCGAGATTCCCCCAGCTTTATTCTTCCTTCTCAGGATTGCTTTGGCTATTCAGGGTCTTTTGTGGTTCCATATGAATTCTAGAACCATTAGTTCCAGTTTGTTGAAGAATGTTGTTGGTATTTGATAGGAATTGCATTGAATCTGTAGATTGCTTTAGGCAGGATGGCCATTTTGACGATATTAATTCTTCCTACCCAAGAGCATGGGGTGAGTTTCCATTTGTTAGTGTCCTCTTTAATTTCTCTTAAGAGTGTCTTATAGTTTTCAGGGTATAGGTCTTTAACTTCCTTGGTTAGGTTTATTCCTAGGTATTTTATTCTTTTTGATCAAATGGTGAATGGAATTGTATTCCTGATTTTTCTTTCTGCTAGCTCATCATTTGTGTACAGGAATACAACAGATTTCTGTGTATTCATTTTGTATCCTGCAACTTTGATTAATTCAGATACTAATTCTAGTAGTTTTGGAGTGGATTCCTTAGGATTTTTTAAGTACAATATCATGTCATCTGCAAACAATGACATTTTGACTTCTTCCTTACTAATCTGGATGCCTTTTATTTCTTTGTGTTGTCTGATTGACATGACTATGACCTCCAGTACTATGTTGAATAAAAGTGGGAAGAGTGGGCATTCTTGTCGTGTTTCCAACCTTACAGGAAAAACTTTCAGCTTCTTGCTGTTAAGTATGATGTTGGCTGTGGGTTTGTCAAATATGGCCTTCATTATGTTAAGGTACTTGCCCTCCATACCCATTTTGTTGAGAGTTTTTATCATGAATGGATGTTGAATTTTGTCAAATGCTTTTTCAGCATCTATGGATATGATCATGTGGTTTTTGTCCTTTTTGTTGATGTGGTGAATGATGATGGATTTTTGAATGTTGTACCATCCCTGCATCCCTGTGGTGAATCCCACTTGGTCATGGTGTATGATTCTCTTGATGTATTTTTGAATTTGGTTTGCTGGTATTTTGTTGAGTATTTTTGCGTCTATGTTCATCAGAGATATTGGTCTGTAATTTTCTTTTTTTGTGGTGTCTTTGCCTGGTTTTGGTATTAGAGTGATGCTGGCTTCATAGAATGAGTTTGGAAGTATTCCCTCTTCTATTTTTTGGAAAACTTTAAGGTGAATGGGTATTATGTCTTCTCTAAATGTCTGATAAAATTCAGCGGTGAATCCATCTGGCCTGGGAGTTTTGTTCTTGAGTAGTTTTTTTATTACCGATCCAGTTTCATTGCTTGTAATTGGTATGCTCAGATTTTCTGTTTCTTCCTGGGTCAGTCTTGGAAGGTTGTATTTTTCTAGAAAGTTGTCCATTTCTTCTAGGTTATCCAGTTTGTTAGCATATAGATTTTCATAGTATTCTCTCATAATTCTTTGTATTTCTGTGGAGTCTGTCATGGTTTTTCCTTTCTCATTTCTGATTCTGTTAATGTGTGTAGATTCTCTTTTTTTCTTATTAAGTCTGGCTAGGGGTTTATCTACTTTCTTTATTTTGTCAAAGAACCAGCTCGTGGTTTCATTGATTTTTTTTCCTATTGTTTAATTCTTCTCAATTTTATTTATTTCTTCTCTGATCTTTATTACGTCTCCCTATCTGCTCTCTTTGGGCCTCATTTATTCTTTTTTCCAGTTTCAGTAATTGTGAATTTAGACTATTCATTTGGGATTATTCTTCCTTGTTTAAGTAGTCCTGGATTGCTATATACTTTCCTCTTAGAAGTGCCTTCACTGCATCCCACAGAAGTTGGGGCT